TGCATGAGATGCCATTTTAAATAAAAGAACATCTGAAAGCATGAAGAACTGGTGAACGCTCTGTTTCAATCCTTTTTCATCATCAGAACTAACCAACAGTAACACATCCCCAATGTGGGGAAATGAAGCTCTAACAGATCTTTCATTTCAAGTAACTTAATTCTGATCATTATTCACAACATTCAAATGTGGGAGAAAGTGAAATTGACAGATACACTGACACCTACGGAGCATGTGCAGAGTGCATTGACTACTTTCCAGCCATGACCAAGGACGTATAGCCAACATCTGACATTAAGATGAACCCAGAGAGTGTCAGGCTGAACCCCTTTGTGTCTCCCATCAAAGTATTTAGCACTGCTCCCTACCTTCAAATCGTCTCCTCTTTTTGCTAAGTATGATTCAGGGTCAGAAGACCAAGCAGTCGTAAGATCGAATCCACGCAATGGAGTGAGCGCCCGTTGCTTGTCCCAGCTCCTGCCAACCTAGCGGTTCGAAAGCATGCAAATGCGAGTAGATCAATAGGGACCACCTCGGTGGGAAGGTGACAGCATTCCCTGTCTAAGTTGCACTGGCCATGTGCCCACGGAAGATTGTCTTCAGATAAAACGCTGGCTCTATGGCTTGGAAATGGGGATGAGCACCGCCCCTAGAGTCGAACACGACTGGACAAAAATTGTCAAGGGGAACCTTTACCTTTACCTTTTTATGATTCAGTACCAAAGAGCTAAAAAAGTTGGACAGTCAAAAATAAATTTTAACATTCTTGGCCCCACCTTGAATGGTCAAGAGAACAATCTTACCTATTCATGAGCAGTGCAAACTCTGCTGGTGTGGAATGCTTTCTGCTTGGGATCCAGGACTCAAATTCTCATGAGCCCTGGCAAGAATTTAAAAAGTCGAAAAGCAATGTCACACGGAGGAAGGAAGCTCATGCAAAATGTGGCCACAGTCAGAGCGCAGGCTGTTCCTGCGCGTGACTGGAACACATAGCAGTGGTGCGTATCCGTCTTCACTTCTGTTTTTATGACCGACTTAACCAGCAAAAAGGAGTTTCAAACATAAATAGTTATAAGCTGTCAAGACGATTCAAAGTTATCCTCTCTCGGATTTTCCAGCTGTGAAATTTCAGAAATGGTTTCCGTCTTCTGGAGGCGCCCCGGGATTGTGCAGCTTGCCCAAGGCCACCCAGGCTGGCTTTTCTCCTGGGAGGCACAGCAGGGAATCGAATTCCCAATGTTTGGCTCTGCAGCCAGGTACCCAACCCACTCAGCTATTCTGTCAGCTCCAGTAGGATGCATATCCCTCCCTTTAAAAAAAAAACTAATATTTTAGGTGAACAATTAGTTCCTTAACCTAATTTGTAATTAAGAGCTATTTATTCTTTTATATATTTGTTTTATTTATATGCCATCTTTCTCCCAATAAAGGGACTCAAGATCTAGTCTCCAATTTTTTCAAGGAATTTCTCCAGTTAAAACATTCCAATAAAGGGACTCAAGATCCAGTCTCTTCTCCAAATTTTTCAAGGAATTTCTCCAGTTAAAACATGAACAAAATTAGGAATATGCTAAATGGGATCAAAAGACTATCTAGTCCATCTTTCTGTCCAATCTTTAGCACATGGAAAAGCAGGCCATGACTATAACTGCACCCCTCCTTACCCCCATATCACCGTCGCCAGCAGCCGATATACAGTATAGGGGCACCCAGCTACTAGAGTGTATAAATAGCCCATCTTGTAAAATTTACACGCTGCAAAAAAAAAAAAAATTAAAAAAATCATGGTTTGAAAGATGTTGTTACGTGCTGTCAGGTCGGAAGTGACTTACAGTGACCCTAATAGAGCTTTTAAAGGAAAGTGAGATTTTTAAGGACTGTTTTTCCCAGTTCCACACACACACACACACACAGTGAGTTTCCGTGGCTGAGTGGGGATTCAAACCTGTTCCTCAGAGCCTACTCTATCCACTACACCAGACTTGGGCAAAGTGCGGCCCGAGGGCCACATACAGCCCGCGAGCCGCTCCTGTCCGGCCCCCAAACAGTTTTGAACATCAAAACCATTTATAGCTTTTTGTCTAAAGTTGATCAGTTGCTTATCTTTAACGTACTGCCAAAAAAAACCACCACTCTTTAGTATTTGTGAAGATTAACAAGTTTAAAATAAAAACAATCGGAACATCGGAACACAGCCAAAGAGCCAGAAAAAAAACACAACAACCATCAGATCCCAGCTGTGAAAGCCTTCGAGAATACAAATCATAACATCACTGTTGAATTTTATTTTTTAGTAAAGTTGGGTTGGCCCCTGAACACAGTTCAGATTTTTCATGTGCCCCCCCCAATAGAAATTAATTGCCCACCCCTGCACTACACCATACTGGGAATCCTGTTTGAAAGATAGTTGTTACAAATTACGAATTATTTGTAATTATTGATTATATTTGAAATTTTTCCATGAATTAATGCATAACCACACTACATCACACATGTAAAATGACAAAGGGCAATTTCACTCCGGTGGTGGCGCAATTGCTCCTTTTTGGCAACTTGGTTCTCTGAATTCAAGATCAGAGAAGTGCAAAGTTGAATGAAATCTAAAAATGATAAAGAGTTCGCCCGGCAGCTCTTGGCTTAAATATGAAGTGTGCCCTTTGTGGAGTGTTGCCTTCAAAATGTATGGCCTTGGCAACGTATCCTATTGGGGATTGATCCCCATACAGAGAGCAAGATGATGCTCTGGCAGGCGTGTAGCTAAATAAGACGTAAAAGAGGCAGATGATGGGGGGAAAGGGCTTCGCATCTCATGGGGGAGAGAGAGAGAGAAAGAGAGAGAGACTGGGGATTGATCCCCAAACACAGAGCAAGATGATGCTGTGGGAGGCGTGTAGCTAAATAAGAAGCAGATGATGGGAGGAAAGGGCTTCGCATCTCATGGGAGAGAGAGACAGAGAGAGAGAGACTTGTGGAGAATGAGCCCTAGGAGGCTCCATTAATTCTCCAGCACTGCCACCTGGTTGCCGTGGCAACGTCAGGCCTGTGATACGGTCCTTTCCCCCCAGGCATTGCATCTCCTTTGTCATTTTTCCATTGGAAGGATCCAGGGGTCACAGTGGAAACGTTTGCTTTTTCCACTTGCCCACCACCCCGCTCTGCATCCAACGCAAGATGGCATTGGATCGCCTGCAAAGGCAACGGGGAGTTCTTATGCCAAATGGGCCTCCTCGGAGCAGCCCGGTGTTTTCTCCTCTGCCAACCCTATCGCACTAGCAGGACAAAGAAAGTCAGGGAAAGAGGAGGGCTGAGAGCTTAAGGCTGGATTATTCCCATCCGACTGACAGGCCACAGACAGACATCTTAGCTTCTGTCTGTTGCTTGTTGTTCTTCTTGTTGAGGGTTTGTGATCATGATATTGTTATTTCAAGCATCAGATTGATCTCCACCTCTGAAAGACCCACTTCCCAAACATTCTTTCCTTCTTTCTTGTAAGAATGTACTGCAAAAAAAGAAAACCTTCAAATAAATAGAAAACCACTAGAGTGACATTGTATTATTATTATTATTACTGTGGTGGGTGGTGTTGGTCGTCATTTGTTCGTAGCGCTAGTAACACAAAAATAAAAAGCAAGACAAACAGGCTCACTCAACAAACAGCTATAAAGACAAGATCAGAGAAATAGGATACGCGAAAGCTGATTAAAACTGAATTGGCAGCGCTAAACTAAAAATGAAAATGGAAAAAAAAAGGTCTAGAATAGGACTACTATTAGTAGTGGTAGCAGCTGTTCGTCAGCCACAGCAGTGTCACGAAAATAAAAAAACTATTCACACATGCAAAAAAAACACCCCAAAAATAGTCAATCAAAAATAGGATCATAGAAATAGGATCAGAGAGGAGAAAGCAGATTAAAACAGAATCCACGGAAATAGCAAAAATAAGATAAAATAACATAAAATCTCGTGGGGTGATATTACAATCACTATTCCTGTTACTAGTAGTTACTGTGAGGACACCAGCAATAGCTGTAGTTTCACAACAATTACAAATAATCTAAACACACAAACAACTCGGACCAAACAAGTGTTAGAGAAGCAAGATTTAAAGATTTTACAGATGCAGATTTAAAACACATCCTAGGACTCAATTAAACATTAGTGGTGAATGATTGTGGTGAATGATGATGATGATTTTACACCACTGCCCATGGGCAATACAAGCAATGGACATCTATGCTTCTTTGCTCACTATGTTACAATCCCAGATCAAAACTACCTCCCTTGTGATCAAGGAAGCATATTTAACTCAACCACTTTTATTTTGAAGGAAAAAAGCAGACAGAAGGTCTGTCTTACCTAACAGCACATTGCCTCTCTAATTGGTGTTTCATAAACAGCCTTAGGGGTACAAAAATTAGCCACATCATGGATGATTTTCAGGGTTGAACCAACAGCAGATCCCAGTTCATACATGCCCTTTAAATTTTTTGAAAGTAACTAGACCAGTGAACTAACTACACAGTGTTACTTTTGGCCTATAACTTGTCACATTGCTTCATTTCCCCTCTGCCCCAACTAGTTACTGGCAATGACGTTACTTGTAATTACCGTATTTTCCGTGTATAAGATGCCCCCATGTATAAGACGCCCTCCACGTTTCTAACCCAAAATTAAGAAATCTAAGTGGGGCTTAGCAAGTGCAGGGGGAAAGGGATCAAAGCACTGCAGGATCGCTTTGATCCCTGCTTTCCCCATCCACTTGTTTTTGATCTCTCCTCAGCTTACTTCTGTGTATAAGACGGCCCTCAATTTTTAGTCTAAAGATTTTAGACAAAAGCATAGTCTTATACGCAGAAAAATACAGTAGTTTAAATTACTTGGAAATTGCTACTTCCAATCTCTGGGGTGGCAGCATCCAGTGAAAATGGAAAGGGATGAGCAGTTTCAGAGAAAGGTCTCCCCTGAATGGAAGAAAACCAGTTGAATGCTGAAAGACTTACCCTGGTGGGACTGAAGCCCTCGTGCTGAGGATAGCCATTCGTTGTGTACCAGGTCGGTTGAGGTTGTTTTGACCCGGGAGCTGAGCACTGCTGGGAGCACTCTGACTCCGTGCAAAAGTAGCCACTTGCATCCCATTGGCTGCGCGGACCTGCTCGATCTTGGCCGCCCCGTTCGCTTGCATGGTGCCCAAGGACCACAACGCGGTCCCGTTGAACGTACTGCTCTGACGGACAGCCAGCGTCCCGTTGCCGTTCCCTGAATAGACCTTCCTGCGCTGGGAGGCCAGGATGGCGTTCGAGGCCGCTCGGGTGCTGTTGACCAGCAGGCATTGCTGGCACGAACAAGGATGGCCGGAGTTGCTTCCCACAGGCCAGGACTGGGATTTAGGGATGGAGCCCATGGTCAGGGGGTAGGCCAAGTCCATGCGTCTTCGGAGACGGCGCTTCCGCTGCGTCTGGCGGTTCACCTGAGACATGCTGTTGAAATAGATCAGGTAGCAAAACCCCAGGGAGGACAAATCCAGCCAGGGGTGCTGCTTCTCATAAGCATTTTGGATGGTGATGCAGATGTCCATGTCGTACGGGGTCCATGAGCTGTTGTCATTCTCCCATTCCCACACGATGCCCTTGCCAGGAGCAGAAGAGGGCTCATAGAAGTTCCTTCGCACCGGGCGCATCGTCCCTGGGAAAGAAGCGGAAAAAAAAGAAAGGAAGGATAAATAAATCAACAAAGGGGGGTGACCACATGACCAAAAACTGCAGAAAATACCACCGGTTTGGGCTGATTCACCTCTCCCCCCCTCCCCCCGTTGATCAGACAATGCAATAGTTAATATGCATCAGCCCAGAGCCCTCCCCTTCCCCAGCTGTTCCTGTCACCAGGGAAGCCACCTGACAGATCTCCTTTGATTTGTATTCCTGCCTCGAGCAGGGGGTTGCATTTGATGGCCTTGTAGGACCCTTCCAACTTCATGGTTCTACTTTTTAACATATCAGATCCTTTTGGATTGATTCAAGCATGTGATTGCTTGAATCGATGCAGAGAGGATGAGATGAGCATGCACACACATGCTCATAGAAGGGTGACTTTAAGGGAGATTGCACCCACTGAAGGAACAGTTGCCAGCTCACCCTAAAACATGGCTAAGGCCATATGGCTCTCCTATATGGCTTTTCAACTTTAACACTTGTTTTATAATTGGCTCTCAGAATTGTTTTCCGAGAATAACGTTGTTTGGGGAAAAAAATCAATGTTTTCACGTGTTTTTTTTTGAAAATGTCAAGGTTTTTTTAAAAAGCTATTTTAAAACTGGTATTTAAAACGATTTTTCATGTTTTTAAACAGTACTGTCTTTTTAAAAAATGCTTTACAAAAATAGCTTTTAAAATTGGATTGGATTTGCTTGTGAAGAACGTTTCTGCTCTACATTGCTTTGTTAGTCCTGGCAGACAGGAAAGCTATAAAGAAATAGTTCAAATAAATTAGCTGAGTGATTAACATTAAGAATGTCACATTGTATTCAAGATTGAAGGTGGTTATGAAAGGGCCAAAAGGCTGTAGAGCTTCATGAGGAAAAGTGTTTAGGGACCTTCAAATAATGCTATGCCTCAAGAATTTTAAAATCAATTCAATCCTTTAAAAACCCACTGATTTATGTATGTGGGATACTGCTTCTATGTCTACAATTCAAAACACCTAGAAACTGTCTGAGATTGCAATATCGTGCCTATACTGCCAGCAGGAACAAGAATGCCAAGCTTAACATAGCAAAGGCCAGCCTGAATGTTGCCAGCACCAATGATGGCAGTCCAGATGGTCTGCAGAATCCCCTCTTGTGCTCACTAGCACTCACAAATATCTATCAAGCAAGGGAAAATCCCAGAACCTGACTCCTTTTTTTTTCACCAGATAACCCAAACACAAAGCAACTGCCATGGGTCAGAAGACCTGCAGTCATAAGATCAAATCCACGCAACGGAGTGAGCCCCCTTCGCTTGCCCCAGCTCCCACCAACCTAGTGGGTTGAAAGCAGGTAAAATGCAAAAAGTGCGAGTAGATAAATAGGTACCGCCTCAGTGGGAAGATAAACAGCATTCTGTCTATAGTCATGCTGCCAAGTGACCACAGAGAATTGTCTGCGGACAAACGCTGGTTCTATGGGTTGCACACGGAGATGAGCACTGCCCCTTAGAGTCGGACACGACTGGACAAATTGTCAAGGGGTACCTTTACCTATAGGATCCCCAAAGGCTGTATGTTAATGCACTAAAGCCATTTGGTGGATGGAATTGGGGGGCATGAGTGCTGGGTGCACCAAAACATGCCAGAGTTGCTTCCCATGTCTCCTGGGGAGCAAGAAAGCACTTTTCCAGCAATGACATTTAATTGTTTTTTAATTTACAGAATGGAGCTAGGGGAAGGCCAAAGAGCGCTAGACGAGCACATTTACCTGGGCCCCCCAAAGCGATGTCTGTTTCACGGGATGCAGTCTGCCACCTCTCTCCTACCATTTCCGATTATGAGAGGCAGAGAGTGCGAAAGACGCACACATAGAGAGAGAAGCTCTGCATCCCGACAAAGGGTGCATCAATGAGGACCAGCCTCCCCCTCCTCCATAGAAGCCATTCCAATCCACTCTGCCTCGGGGGGTCCTTGACATTATCTGTGTATTTTCAGATCTCTGTTTAATAAATAAATGAATCCAAGGAATGGGGTTAGCAGCGGACCATGAAAGGGGGGGGTAGACTATGTAGCACTCTCGTTGTGTGACTTCTTAGCCTGTAAACAATCAGTCTCCCACAATCACACGGAGAAACAGATACAGTCCAAATGGTGCAATAATATTTCAAGCAAACGTTACTGCTCCAAAACGGACAAGAGAAGAAAGGAAAAGAAGAGCATTTTGAAATGCAAATAGTCTACCGAAATAGCATGCCTTTCTCTTCCCAGTAGTTGCTCGGGAATTATACAAATAATACCCGTAATTTTCACATTTGTCTGGAGACAATGCACATGCCTTTTACACATGCTCTCTTTCACACACATTCGTATCACACGGCTACTTTAACAGAATGGTTAGAATAATACAGATTTTTGTGTGACTGCAGAGCTGAGGGGCCTCTTGGGAGAATGTAGGGCTTCAGCGTGTCTTAATCTGGCCTTGTGCAGATTTGCACACACACACACACACAAACAAACACAAGCTTTCCAGCTGTGACCTCCAGGGGAACCTGCTCAGCGCCAGAGGACGTCCAAGCGGAGGACTCAAACGGATGGCTCCAGGGGGCAAGAGCTGCTCTCCCTTCGGGTGTGTGGAAACGTCCATCAGAAGACCTCAGTTTGCCTAGCACTGCCAGGAGGTTTCCTGATCTCCGGAGGGGAAACTGAGCAAGAACAATGGCTGGGTCAGATAAGCCAGGAAGCAAAACGGTGTGACTAACCCTCCGCCTGATCCAAATTGGCTGGGCAGCTGGTGGGAGCAGGAGGGCGTTCGGATGGGTGGAACCTGACTCAGCACAATTAACGCTTGACTTCGTTAGCAGTGCACTGTTAGCAATATAGGAGTGTCAGATATAATGGAGGAATTTCCAATGTGCAAGACCTTATTTCCTAGCAAGATGTTGGGAGTTATTGCAAGCCTGCATGCTGCCTTTAGTAGGTGTGGCTCGGAGCGGAGGAATTTCCAATATGCAAGACTTTATTTCCTAGCAAGATGGTGGGAGTTAGTGCAACCTCGCATGCTGCCTTTAGTAGGTGTGGCTCGGAGGGAGCTCTCTGGGAATGAGGGGGTGACTATCCCTCTAGCCGGCATTTCCTCCCCTGACTCTAAGAAAGCCATGCCCCTCTGCAAAGAGCTTTCCTCCCTCTCTGGAGTCTGTGGGAAGCATTTAGTCTATGGAGGCCTTTTGCTCAAAGCCGCCAGCCCTATTGTCAGCTTGCTGTTATCTCTTCCCTGCAAGTAATGAAACATTTGTATTCCTTCTGCTATTAATGTCTCAGAGTGTGTCCTTGAGATTGTAAATGCCGGCGAATGAGTAAAAAAAAGGGAGGGACTAAGTGGGGAACTGTAGGCTATTCTGCCCTGTGAATCCCTGCACTTCTGTTGCTCAGATACATAAGTTTAAGCAACATTCAAAACTCTGCAATACAAGAAAGATCAGAGTTTGCCCATAAAAACCATAACATTCATCTTCAGGCTACCTTAAGGTATACAGCTCGATCTTCGGAGAGCTTCCTGTGGCCTCTAGCTGTCCCCCCAGGCCTGAGGTTGCCACCTTTCTCTGCCTAATTAATGGTAGGGCTAGACCAGTGGTCTGGGAACAGGGGTAAATTACCCCAAATGGGGTAAAAATGAAAATCCTGGGGGTAATGAGCAAAGCCTACCTTGTAGGATTTTGAGCATAACCTTGCTAGCGTGTGAAATGAGTGCAATTGTACAGTAGTTGGAGCATTCTTTGGCACTGCGCTTCTTTGGCACTGGGATGTAGACTGATCTTTTCCAGTCCTCTGGCCACTGCTGGGTTTTCCATTGATGATGATAAAAAAAAAAATAGTGCACTGGTCTTTGATGTTGGGCTGTGGCACCAGGGTGGGTGACATGATCTTTAGCCTGGTTTGTTCCTTTTTGCAAACCACACACAGAATGATTAAAGTGGTAGGAAAACCCCCCCCCCTGCAATTCCTAGCACCACTCTGGTAGCCACTGATGATGATTAAATCCTCTGCGAGCTAGCAAAAATTTAATGCAACTTGCTAGGCACGTTGGACACCTTACTACTCCCTGTACCATACCATGGCTGGAGTGTAATGTGTTCCAGCAAAAACAGTGCACATCTTTATTAAATTTGGTGCATAGTGCTAGTTCGGTACATAGCCTGGCAGCCATTGATGCTGATGATATATCCCGCTAGTTCAGTACACAGCTTTTGTAGATTCAATAATATTTTGAATTCAAATAATGTATGCTTTCCTTACTTTCATATCAAGGGGGTAATGGCGTATATAATTTTTTTTTTGGGGGGGGTGTAAAAAGGTAAAAAAGTTCCCTGACCCCTGGGCTAGACCAATTGTGAAGTTGGAGGCTAGATCAGAAAGCTTTCTTGAAAGGTTAATGACACAGGGTGAGAGAGAGAGAGAGAGGTACTGTTTGTTAATTTGAATCTTATCACCTGGTCAAATACTGTCAACGCCAAACACCACGAAAAGGAACCGATGACTATTTCTTGGTAAAGCTCTTCATGTCAGGCCAGGAGCGAAGCCATTCCCACCCTTTTAAAAATAGGTGGTGGTGGTGGAAGCACAAAAGCAAATGATTAAGCAGAGGGAAGGAATGGCCAGACCAAGAAGCTAGGAGGGCAGAAGTGGCTCCGAGACCTGAGGTTTCCGAACCAAAACGCTTAATACGCAACGACACACCCAGAGGCAGATGTGCGTGCGCGATTCTGTCCCTCCGTCGTCCTACCTTCTGCTTCCCGCTTCCTTCCCTCCCCTGCTGACGCTGCAACCAGCACAGCAGCCGCGGCTAGGTAATCAATAATTATGTTTGAAGTGTTATGTTAACGATGCATCCATCCCTGGAGACTCGTACAGCTAAACGGCTGTTCGCCAGTGGTTTCCGTGGTGTTTGTTTTCAAGACAGGCTGGCTTGGCAGGCCTCCGATGGGTTCCTTCTGCCAAGCAAC